GGCAGCAGAAACAATGAAATTATTGTCTTATATTTAAAAAAATGGCAGCAGAAACAATGAAATTATTGTCTTAAGTGCTGATTCTAAATGTATTAGCCTTGAAATATTAGAAAGAAGCTTGTTAACTGCTATTTCATTTATAGTGACTGATAAAGTTTTAAATCCAGCCTAGCCACTGTTTTATTATTCAGGTAATTAAAGTGTTTCACCAACCTTGAAGCTAACTTAACTGTGAGGGATTTTAACACATTTCATAATGGGGAAAAACTAACAAGTTTAATTAAGAATTCTTACTTTCTTCTTTTTGTCAGGAACTTGATAATAAGTACAGAATAAGTAAAACTGTGTCTTGAATCTCATTTCCTTTAGCCAAAGAAACTTAGGGATCATTTTTCACTAAAAAAAAAACTAATTTTCTTATTTTAAGATATTTTTAATTTCAAATTTTTCTTTTGAAAGAGAGCCTTTTGTATTTGGTTCTTTTATACATAGGGATGCAGGTATAATAAACACACACATCTAATTATCTATACACTCTACCTCTATTTACTCTGTATCTTTTCAATGAGTCTGAGGCATCGAGAAAAAATAGAGGTCTGTGAGATACCATATATTTGAGGCAGGGAGGAAGGGGAGGCAAAGAGCAGATGAGATGGGGCCACGAATGAGGTGTAGGACAGAAATGCACAGGAGGAAAGCTTATCCACTTCTTAAGAAGAGAGGGCCCCAACTTGGTCATGAATTTTTCCAGCAGTCTGCACTAAGAGGGAAATTTAATCAGCTACATGAGTCACGGTGCCCGTAAAATGAGAGCAGAACAACTGCTCTGGCAGAAAGCTGTGCTCAGTTTCTGAAGTTGCTTACTCTGGTTGGATATTCTCACCTCAAGTTGGGCAAGAGCCTGGACTAAGTGATTATTTAGAAGGAATCAAAAAAAGTTATCTTTCCTCTAAAGTACACAGTCCGATAGACTCTGTGGGTGTGTAAATAACAAAGATTTAATGGCCCTATCTAATGACAGTTTTCGAATTATTTCTCGCGAATGATAAAATTACCTCTTCAGTTATGTGAACGGAGAATTCAACACCTGATAATAAACAATGGGTACAGGAAAAATAAAAATAGAAAATATTCTAAACACTCTCAATGGAGAGCTAAAACAAAGTACAGAAATTCAGATCATACCATGTCTGAAACAAGCAGTAAATTATTAAATATTCCTAAAATCTTAAACAATTTGGGGAAGCTGGGAATGGGCTATCGCTTAGAATAAATACTTCCACCTTTTGCTTTAGCATATTATGTGTAACAAGAATCAGAGTTTATGCTGAAGGATCTCAGCTCTGCCTTCAAGTGTCAGCACGACTCTAGGCCAGTCTAATCCTTTTTTCGTGCAAGATGAGAGAGTATCAGAATTATTGGTTGCAAGAGGGAAGGTGGGCGTAGTTGCCCACGCAATCAAGGTGCTTATCATCACAGAGGGATACTTAGGCCTCCACCTGCAAAATGTCCCTTTGGTAAAATGCTTCTTTGTGGGCTGAGGGCCAGTACAATAAATATCACCACCAGATGGCAGGAGTGCACTTTGGATAAATGGAGCAGTCAAGGACCCTTTTATTTATTTATTTTTCCCATTCTCTAAACTCTCCACTAGGCGACAGTAACATGCATATAATTGGAATAGCCATTAATGGATTATATAACAATTTTAATTTTTTTTTTTTAACACGAGAGCAGCAGTTTAAGAACGTATCCATAGATTTTTTTCTTCCCCTCTAGAAAATAGCCATACCATTTGCTTTTGGGCCTCCCACTCATTAATCTAATACAAAAACAAAAAAACAACGAACCCAAAACTTTGGGGGGGTTCACCTTCTGAAGAATCTGGGAAAGATTATTCTTTGAAACCATTATTATTTAAGAATTTTTGGATCCCAGACTTTCTTACTCCGATTTAGAAAAAAAGTGACTAAAGTGACTAAAATAGTCACTTCTTTGAAGATAATAACAATTATGTATAGACCACCTATTATATGCCAAGGATTGTATTTAAATGCTTTAAAAACATTAGTTCACTGAATCTGGATCGGAGTTTTTTAAGAAAGCCCAGATTTTAACTTGTCTTTTTAGGGCCATCACCTCTGTATTTTCCATGACCTGATTATGCTTTTCCTGCTTGAACCATTTTCAAAACCCATACTGCAGGAGAAATCAGAACTGCTTTCACGATATGATTTTGAGTGCACACAAGGATGTATTCTATTTATGACTTTCCATCTCATGTAGTTGCATAACATTAATCGGTGAGGGACAATAACATATTTTGATTCTATAGTTACATTAAAGGCTAAACATGAAGATTAGTTAGGGAGCAATAGCAAAGGAATAAACTCAGTCATGCCGAAATATGAATGCCTGATAGATAAGAGTACAGTCCGGCTGGAGAAAGCAGGGGAAAGCTAGATACCTGACTGGACAGCAGAGAAGAGGAATGAGATGGGGGCCAAGGAGCCAGTTCAAGTGTGCAGCTTCACACTTCTACGGCTGGCCCTTGTTCAGTGCCTTTTGAGAGCCTTACCTGTCTGTGGCGTTGGACAGTCCGAAATCACTTGGTGTGGCACAAACACTTTCCAAGTGTTGTGGAGACCTGAACAGGAATTGAATTCCTTAGAGCAGTGGTTCCCAGCCTTTTTGGCACCAGGGACTGGCGCTCCTATGAGAATCTAATGCCGGATGATCTGAGGTGGAGCTGAGGCAGTGATGCTAGTGCTGGGGAGCGGCTGCAAATACAGATGAAGCTTCGCTCGCCGCTCACCTGCTGTGCGGCTGGTTCCTAACAGGCCACGGAAGGTACCGGATGGGTGACTTCAGGGTTGGGACCCCTGCCTTTGAAGAAATGTTGAGCAGTCAAGCTTCTAAAACAGAATACAGTTGACCCTTAAAGAGCTTGAGTGCAGGTTACCTTCTAAGTGAATTTTTTTTTTCCAGTAAATACAGTTGGCCCTTCCTATCTACAGGTTTCACATCTGCAGATTCAACCAACTGCAGATGAAAACAGTATTTTCGCATTCCCAGGTGCAGATTCCCCACCACGGAAAATACTGTTTCAACCTGAGGTTAGTTCAATCTGCAGATTCAAAGGGCCAACTATAGAGTCAAAAGTAATACGTGGATTTTTGGACTGTGTGAGGTTAAAGGGGCACTGTGATAGCAAATGGTTGTCTGTGAGGTATCCACAGTGAGACCAGGCCTGCCCTCAAGAAGTTCCCAGGACCTTCATCTCTCCTTAACTCAATTCTAAATCGGACTAGGAGAGGAGGAATAAGAGGTCAAAGACTGCAAAGAGTCTTAAGACAATTTTCATGCACGATTTTATTGTAAAGGTGCACTTTTAATGTACTTTATTTCAAGTATCTTTAAGAGAAATACAACAACCCCAAAGGGCAAAAGCTGACTAATTCACAAGACAGTCTGGGGCTGGGGTGGGGTGAGTCTTGAAAGAAGATAAAGGAGTGGGAATGAGGAACTTAGGGAAGGGTATTCTTGGAGAAGGAGAAGGGAGGTGACTTTATCTTTCAAATGTGGCCAGAACCATGTCCTCAGGTATTCTCAGGGAATGTAAGGCAACCCTGGGGTGCCAGTAAGCTAGCACAGAGCGGTAGTAACAACGGCCATGAACTATGCAACTATTTACTAGGAGCCGCTTATCTATGTCTCTTATTTAGTTCTTAGGCAGGCCCTCCTGGGAGGTGATATTCTCCCTTCCTGGGAGAAAATACTTTTACCAGCATCCAAGACTTAGCAAAGGCACAGTTAGTATCAAACCCATTCTCTCAGTAGAATTCCTTCTGCTTTTTTTTCCAAGGCCTTCCTCCCAGGCCATGGCTGGTGATACTTACCGACTGCCACCAGGGGTCACACTAGCCAATTTGGATCAATTAGTAAGCGCAGCTGGATCTAAAGGTAATTAATTATATAACTATGACCTGTCCAAGTTTAGTTCTACTAAACTTGCAACTTGAAACTGAGGCATTATAAAGGATTACTGGGAAAATAACAATACTTTTGAAGAGAGCTCCCCTCCTCCCCCCTTTTTTTCTGGCTTAAACAGGAATAAAGGAAGATAAAAGAGCATGAATCCGCCCCAATAGGCAGCACGACGAGAAGCTTTTATCCTCTGTGTCTGGCAGTTGGCCAAAAAAATGATCCACTCAGCTTTCCTAGTGAGGACAGGAGGGTGGGTGGCAAGGTAACAGTGTTTTAAAAACAGTGTGAATATAGTTTGAGCCTTAAGACAAAACTGTTGACAATAGTTGGTGCTGTTTTGTTCTCTATCAAATTGTTTACTCTGGTTGTACACAGTAACTTTTCTGTGGTTTTGATCCACAGAATTTCTTCTTCCCAAATGTCAAAGCTCAGGCTGGAATTCTTACACAGGTTTCAGAGAACAAAGTAGAGAAAGCGAGCAGATCTCAAGCAACATTTTCTACAAGACAATTACATTTTAACATGTACAATCGACAATATAGTCACACTGCATGAACGTGTTTTTCTGCAAATGTTTATTGGGAAAGATTTTTAAGAAAGTTCAAGTGGCTATATCTGTGGCAGTTTCTTTAGATGAAAAAGGTGCTAATAGTCACTATGGAAACCAAGATGCAGGCAACAAGGAGCAAAATCAGACCTATACGACGGTATTTCGAATGCTTCTCTTGTTCCTCTTCCTTTTTCAGTAAGGTATCAAAACCTGGCGTGTACATGTCTCCCAACCAAAACCGTAGGTCATTGGGATTTTCCTAAAAAGAAATTACATGGAGAATAGGATCAGTCAGTGATCAATCAATGTCACGGACTAACCAAAACTGCAAAAGAAGATTCTGCCAGAAGTACTGAAGGTCCATATTCATAATCACCATGACCTGGGTGAGGTATAAGTGTCCTGGTTCAAATACGAGAGAGCTAGGCTTCCCTGAATGGCACAAACATGCAGGTATAGCCTCTTGGCTGACTAGGATTCCTTGCAGCCCAATCAGCAAGTCTGCGTGAGAATTCATGAGGAGGCCTGCATGATTTATTGACAATATTGCTCACCTTGGAGGGTCAGAAACACCAGAGTGTTTCTGCCACGTTTTTGTCTCTTACATCTCATAAATAGTATGTGTCAATCAGGTTAGTGAGTTGAAATAAAATTTAAATTCCTTACTTTAGATGAGCCTTAGAAGTTTGATTTTTTTCAGCATGGTAAGGAGAAACATGTCTGGTGAGTTTTTCAGTAAATCCAGAAGCTGACTTCTATGGAGGAGGTTAGTGAGTAAAAGTCAAGGGTCCCTTCCATGCTTCTCAGCTGTTGGTTCCCCTTGTGGAGGGTGACAGCATGTCCAGTGTGCAGAGACTTTGGCACTGTCTGATCTCCTGAAAAAAGGACTCAATGTACCCCTTCCTACATCAGGCCCTGTTCCCTCCCACGCCTCTACTTCTTCCACTGGCCTCATCTTCCTTGCAGCCCTGCAGAACTGTCTTCAACTGCCTATGTTCAATAAATTACCTGCAAGCTACTGTTCGTACATATAAAAAATGTTTTCTTATACTATCTCCTGCTATGTTTTAGTGCTAAAGATTCAGTGTCCACGCTTGGCATCTAATAAGCATACAACAAATTTACAGTGAATGCGGAATCTCTGCTTTCACAAACCCACTTCAGGCATCGTTATTTCTCATCTGGATTATTACAACAGCTTGCAGCTGGGCTGCCCACCCTGCCCTTAACTCTCTAGCCTCAGTGAAGTCAGCCAGTTTCCATGGCCAGCCTCAAGGGACACTGAACTAGCTTCAGACTTACCAATGCACAGCTGAGACAGCCATGTACATGCCTGTAGGGAGCTGGGTGGATTCTGGTCACAGCAATATAATTCTTCCATCACATTGTACTAATTTCAATGTCTTCCTTTTTAGAAAAGCTAAAATACTAGAGTAAAAATTGGATGACCTGTGCAGAGGGAGAGATGATTTAAAAATCCTTGACTACTTGACTCTCAACCTTCACTTTGTGTCACCAGAGGCCTGCACGTTGCCTGCAAGTTTAATTCTGTAATGGAGACCGCCTTCTCGTCCATCCTGCTCAGAGCCTGCTTGGTAACTAAATAGGGAGCTTCTTTTCTGCTTTCTTGTTTATAAACTCTTAGCAATTTCAAAAAATGAGAGCAGTTGAAAGAACTTTGAACTTTTACAGCCCGTTAAGTGGTGAAAAGTTTTCAGAAGATAAGTTAGGGGCTCCACCCGCTAATTATGAGCTATAGATAGGGATGGCGATGAAAGAAGTTGAATTAATGAGGTATAGGAAGAAATTATCATGAAAACAAACATCTGACTTCCAGAAGCATCCTTCAAGAGAAGTCGGTACTGAAGAATAGCATCGTGAGGTCTGTCAATAGGCCTGTGACCCGAGGGACCACTGCTTTGGGGTGAATGAACTGCATGCAGAGGATGAGGGGAGGGAGCACACCTGGTTTCAGTGAAGCAATATATCCAATATGGTCACGTTTGATCTTCCTAAGCATAACTCATGGAATTGACCAACAGCAAAACATTATTCCTCTTTGCCAATAATGTTCAATAGCCTTAGCCTTACATACGAACATTTTCTTTTAGTGTACTTTTTCACTTTATTTTGCCCATTATTCTATGACTTCAACTGTAGCTCTGACAAAAGCGGACTGTTTATTGTTCTGACAAACTCTCTCACTTTCTCATATTTATGGCTTTTCTCTTGATCCTCCTGAGAGAAGAATCTCCCCACTCGTACAAACCATCTCTATCTTTCAGAATTCTACACATCCTTCAAGCCCAGCATGAGCTAACTTTTTTTTTTTTAAATAATCCAATGTGATCTCGTCCTTCTCTGAATCCGCACATCACTCTCTACCGCCATTGCCATCACCGTGCTCTTCCTACAGCTTGTCACTTCCTGTCTTGTTCTATAGCTTTCATTTGCTACTTTGCTCAGTTAGATGAACTTTTTGAGGACAGGGACAGTAACAGTCATCTTTATAGTCCCCTTGTAAACAAAGAGGAAGGAAGGGGCTCTAGGATATAGTCAAGAAATGTTTGTGAAATAAATCAAAACATTTTGCCCTCTTTGTAGAAGGCAACTTCTTAGAGGTCCTGAGCTTCAGACTCCTGATCAAAAAAAAAAACATAGTTATTGTTGCTATGGGGGAGCGTCTGGTATGGAAACTTTTCTGGAAAAGAGGCTGCATTAAGGAAATACATTAAATATGCTAGTAGGTTAAGAACCTTCAAAGACACTGGACAAGTTATTTCAAGTAGTGCATATTTGAGATTTTTAAAAGTGTAAGATTTTAAGGGGACATAATGCTGTCCTCTACAAAAGAAAAATAGCTTGAGGTGCTTAAGGTAGGGGGCTAAGAATAGATACACATTGTTTAATGAAGGGGACTTGGAATGCCAGGGCTTCCTGGCTCTAGGGCGGCAGAGACTGAGCAGGAATCCAGGGCACTCAGAAAACAGAGGGCCACTCTCCCTGCTTTTCAGGTATTTCTAGATCTTCTATGTGATGGGTGACACCAGGAGGAAAAAAAGAAAAAAAACTTAAGTCGGGTTTAAGCTGGGTGAATGAGTTCATTGCATACTTTTCCTGTGTTGAAATGCTTTTGTTTTGTTTTGTTACTGAGACACAGGAAAGAGTCCAAAATGTAAATCTGCAATCTTAAATCATTGAGTGGGCTTGAAATAAAATGATCTTTGATGAGAACTGCCTTGCACAGTGCCGAAGACAACATTTAATAAATATTGTTGAATAAATGTAGATTAAGGGATTCCTAAGTATTCATGAACATAAATGATCACAAACTAGGGGAAAACATACATAACCTGGCAAATTAATTTTCAGAAAAAGGTTTAGCTTCCCGGTAAACCTTTCTTCTGTGCCATCATTTTTTCTTCTGTATACTACACTGATGGCAGTAATTGCTGAAATTGTAAAACTCAAAACGAATTAAAAAATACAAATAATGATGAGGAATAATAAAGGGAAACCACAGGACAAAATGACCTGAAACCTGGAGATGTGGCACCTGGGGAAGAGTAACCTCAATATCCATGTCTTTCAGGATTATTTAACTGATCTCCCTCATCAATTGAAGGAGCTGGTTCTTTGCCTCGAGTACCTTCAGATGCCCAGAAAGGTTTGTGTGCAAGGAGCGCCTGTCATATTCCTCGATGGTCCACGAAGGATTCTTCTTTCTTTCTTCCATAGCTTCCTTCAAACTTATGTCACCATATAGTGGGTTATTCCTCAGAACTGAAGACAGGGGCGGTGGGGGGCTCTCTGCAGAGATGGTGCCCTCCACACTGGACCCCCTCATTCGTTGAGCAGTCAAATTCTTTTTTTCTCTCTGTTAGGAGGCAGAGACAGGGCTCCTCTTACTAAGGGGTCACTGATGGCAGAGAACGTCATGTGAAATAACCGTGCCTGAAAATTTGTTGAGTCTGCCTAGAAACCCACGAGATCAGGACAATGAATGAGGAAAGGAATCTAGAATCCAATTCGACCTAGAATCCTATCATTAATTGAATTCTTTCTTTCCTGTGATCTTGTTCAGCTTCAGTAATCATGCATTAAAATGCTATTTTATAACTACAAAGAAAGAATACTGTTTTATTAACTCAAATAGTCAAAGTCTGAGCAAAGCCATTTTTACCAGCTCACTTGCACTGAAATTTAATGATGTTTTACTTCTTTCTCTTTGCACATTCCATGACTGATAAGAATCACATTTAACATTGCTGTATGAATCCAGTGAAGTCAAGATTAAAAGGCATTTTATAGACAGGCCTCTTGGGACTCTTATTTCAGATAGCTTGGAGAACTGTACTAACTTAGTATCATACTCCTATATATGCCTACAGATCGGCTGGCTGTTAGATGGCTCTCAGATTTTTAAAAACTTTTTATTGAAGCATAATATACATGTAGAAACGTGCGCATATCAGAAATGTATAGCTTAATAAATTTTCATAAACCAAAGATTCTACCAAGAAACGGACTATCACCAGCACACCTCATGCTCCCTTCCGGTCACTATCCCCTCCCCCACAAGGATGACCAGGTCCCCCAATTTAACGGCATAGTCCTGTTTGGACTCATTTTGTATTTTATGCAAATGGGATTATATTATGTGTGCTTTTCAGTGTCTAATTTGACCTCAGATTTTTTACTTCACTTTTTTTTTCTATGACTACAAAACTATCATGAAGGTAGAAAATTTTTATATTAAAATTTGTTCACTGGCCAATAAAATTGAGAAGAAACAAAAGCTTATAGAGTAGTGCCTCATTTATCATGGGGTATCAATTCCACATAAGTTAATTTTAAAAAACCTTAGGTTTAATCCTTAAAAACTGGTGACAAATTTCATTAATTTATAGCAATTTTCCAATAAATGTGTTTCAAATAGTTCAGCCTTCCTAAATGGAGAAAGTTAGTATTCCTCTAAGTCATATTTATGATCATTAATACATTGATTCCCTCAGCATCTATTGTGGTATGTATGTGGGTCACATTAAATATGCATTTATATAAGCTAAGTTGTAGATTAATATTACATATAGTTTCCTTCTGAAATGGCTGGTAGTCTAAATCATCTATATAAAACCATTCACATTCTCTTTGGCCTTAGGTTTCCCTGATTTTCTTATTCCATACATTTTTTACATAATTGGAAATCAACTTGGAGATCTTCCCTGATTTTAGGTTATCGGTCTGCTCAATATCAATTTATATTCTATAATACTGAAGCTTACAATAAAATAAATTGTCTTGACTTAGCATTTTTCTTTAAGATGGATGACCTCATAAAAATGTTTCTGAATTGAGGAAAAACAATTTGATATGAAATTTAGATCATTTCAGATTAGCATAACTCTGACTCAAGTTTTTTTCTTTAAGGCTAGACATCTTTGATCATCTTGGAAGAAGGATAATTCTTCTGACATTGATAAATTAGCTTTGTCAGGTTTTTTGCCTGCTAGACTATTCCTTGAGCTTCTTAAATAAGAAAGATCTATAAATAAAAAACAGTTTTGAGGGTCAAGAAAAAATAATGTACTATATAACAATGTAGAAAGACCTTGAAAAACTAATATACAAATGATAGCAAAATAATCAGAGCTACATTCTAAAAAGAACATTCAAGCCCTTAATTCTAAATCTCATTCTTGAAAATCAGAGGTTTCTCCTAAAACACTTATTTTTGCATTGCAGGACAATTTCATGCCTGAAAGACATGTGAATAAAAAATTAATAGAATAACTTTATTAAGAATTTGATGGCTGGATAAAAATACTAATTATGGTTGAAGTTCATTTTTATTTTGATAAATATTTTCAAGTAACTTGAGGGAAAAAAGCATATATTTGATTCCAATCCTCGTCTACATTTTAGATATTATATTTAGCAAAAGAAACTCAACAGTAATTCCATTATTTTAGTTATATGGACTCTAAGATAATTTTAATTTAAATATTTATATAAGGAAAGTAATACTTCAAAGGTTACCTAGACTTTTTGGCATTAACCATTACTTAACCCATTTATTCTTTATACGCTTTAGTTATTACTTATACCATTTATGTATAAGGAAATTATCATTTAATAAAAAGAGTGAAATAGAAGACAGATTCAGACAAACAAAAACTGAGAGTTCACATTTAATAAACCAGTAAAGAAAAAATCTCTAAAAAAATGTAGTTCAGGCAGAAGAAAATTGATACTGGAAGAAAAGATTAAGATGCAAGA